CCCTGTGCGTGCCCTGACTGTTGTCAGGGGGCAGGGTCTGTCTCTTAAAGAGATATTGCCGATCAGCATTAAAGCCTGAACCTTTCATTCCCACCTCTACTTATTATTTAAAAAGGTGGGGTATTAGACATAGCAGGTTAAGGAATAAGGATGGACATCGAATTCTCAAGACTGCTTCCTGCTGATGTGGGGGTCGTTGACCATCTTTGGGGGACCTGAGAAGGTTAGGGTGCTGCCAAGTCCTGGTGTAGCTGGTTGTTTCATTGCAGTCCAGGCTGTGCAGAACTCCCTGGCGCCTCTTAGACCTGTTTGTTTGGATCCAATTCCGCTCACTGGAACTTACAAGAATCCTTAGAGTTTGTGAAAACATAAGTATTAGACACATTAGCAGCATATTCTTGTTAGAAGTGACTTGGCTGAAAGCATTAACATTTTAAAATTGACATATATTTTATGACAAAGAAAAGCATCTTAATCTTGACCTAGTAGTTTTGATCGTACAGTGGTATTGCAGAACTGACTATGAACAGTAGCATGGGAAATAGAGAAATCAGGAACATATTTCATTCTTTTTAATGTCTCAACTCACTTTGTCATCATGTAAGCCTTTTTATCCTCAGACCTTCATAACTTTAATTCATACACCTTTCATGACCTTTATACCTTCCATTCTCAGGCCTTCATAACTTGCATTTATTCACCGTGTTAGAACTTTCCATCCTCAGACCTTCGTAACTACATTCTCAGACCTTCATACATGTTACACTTTTCTATCTTCACATAGATAAACCCCAAAATACCTGTTCCTGAAGTCTGTTTTGCTTTAAGCTGGCCAGACTACTAGTCATCAAAAGCATCAGGGTTCTTGAGAAGGATAAGATTTTACCTGAATCAGTGATTAAAGAATAACAGAGCCTTGCCAGCAGGCTGCATGGACAGCCATTCCCAAGGTCCTCCATCCATAGTAGTGGGCTACAAGACACCTGCCTTCTTGCTGATAGAATGTGACCTGTGGATTACAGACTATAGGAAGACTCGCCTACCGTTGGCCCAAGCAACACAGGGAAAGTCGATTCCACTGTCCTCTTGTCCACAGTCTGGAATACTTTGTAGCAGTTGAGGTGAAGGGCAGGGTTGCTCAGTGACTAGTGTTGTCATTGACTCAAGATGAAGCTTCTTCAGTGCCCATCAGTCTTCTTGGTGGAAATGGGGTGGAACCAGCAGCTGGCCTATCTCTCTGTTATAAAAAGCCTTTTAACAAAACATTTTAAATGCCATGTACTCTAGATCTCTGAGCATTTGAGGGCTGTCTGTCTGCTTAGTATCTCAGCAGTCAAAACTTTGCCTTTAGATAGAGAAAAATCCCTTTTTTTGTAATAAAAAGCTGTACCTTTATAAATGGCTTACAGGATGAAGTGAGTGGTATAAATATTTTGTTAATTTGAAATAGACCTTTATGATTTTAAACTTTCATCATCCTTTAAAGATACATGAGTTAAATTTAAGTTGTATAGACTTAGCTTATATTTTAAGTATAATTATACTAGACCTTTATGACTTTAAATGTTTACCATCATTTAAAGATGCATAGCAATTTAGGAATATGAGACTTAGCACAGTTTAAGTTGCATGTAGAGTTAGATAAGTATAAAGTTAAATTTAAATTACATGTACAGAGACAAGCAGGACTAGATAACAGTAAAAGGGGAACCAGAATGCAATCTCTGATCCATACATGGTAGCCAACAGACAGGAGATTTAAAGGGACAGAGTAGACTTAAACAGAGAGTCCTAGAAAGACATAGTATTCGTAAACAAGCCATGAGCAACAGAGCCAGTGAAAGAAGAAATCACAGAAAAAAAAAATAAAAAGCACAAAAGAATCTGACAGAAAGCAAAAGTACGGCAGACAGGTTTGCTGGCACAGGCCACTGGAGTGGGCATGCCTACAGGTAGGTCACATGACCAAGATGGCAGCCCCCAGGTTAACCCACAGGGTCAAGATGGCAGCGACCATAAGCCATTTTTTTGTCTGTTTACCCGCTTGTTGGCTGCAACCAGAAAGTTTCCTTATGCATTTCCTATGGGTGAGGCAAGTAGAAAAACTGGCAAAAGCTCCTCTCCTGATGCCCATTAGCCCGTGGGAGTTGCCAGGGGCTGGCCCTGAAGGGGACACAGCTGTCCCCAAAACTGAAAAAGGACCCAGCACTCCGAACTGAAAAAGCAAAAAAGCACTGTTACTGGAGCGGGATCCCAAGCCTGGTCCTCTGGAAATTGAAGGGATATCTTACCGGATTGTAGCAAACAGGCAGATGAGTGAGTTCCAGAGATGCTTAGTTGGTAAAATGGTGCAGTTGAAGTGTACAGAGTCCCGGCATCTCAGGCCACTGCAGGCAGGACAAAGTGTCAGGAAAAGCCGAGATGTTAAGTGGGTTATGAGTTCAGATTTTAAGATCCCCGAAATTTCCTGTGTCCCTGGCAGGAGAAGTTACAGAGAAAGCCTATCCCCCCAGCAAGCTTCGAGAGAGCTTACGGAGAGAACCTAATTCACGTGGGTACCAAATGTTGTTTTTGAAGAAAAAGAGGAGAGCACAAGAAGAGACATATTGACTAGTTTATTATATGGGCCGGGCAGAGTAGGGAGACTAAGAGAGAAGAGGAACAGGGATAATGGCTGACCGCCATGGCCGGTCACATAGAGAGGCAGAGAGGGCGCTTAGGTGGGAGAAGAGAAAGTGAAGCAGAAGCAGAGAGAGAGAGAAAGAGAGAGAGAGAGAGAGAGAGAGAGAGAGAGAGAGAGAGAGAGAGCAGCAGGGAAGTTGGAACTTTTAAAGGGAAGAATGAGCATGCTCACTGAGGTTCAACGTATGCGCAGGCCAGCAGTAATGCTTAGCGGGTGACTTGGTAATGGCACATCCCAGTGCCTGCCCTGACTGTTGTCAGGGGGTGGGGTCTGTCTCTTAAAGAGATATTGCTGATCAGCAGTAAAGCCTGAACCTTTCACCTAGCAATTGGAAGGCTGAGGGAGGATAATTGCCATGAATTCAAGGCCATCTTGGTCTACATAGTGAGCTCCAGGCCAACCTGGTCTATAGAGTAAGACCCTATCTCAACAAGATAAATCTCAAAGAAAAGCTCATGAGAGTTTTCATCATATATGAATGGCAAATGTTTGAGGGAATACGTTTAATCTGATTAAAGTATCATGTGGGACTGGAGAGGTGGTTCAACAGTCAAGGGCATGTCTGTTCTTGCAGAGGACCCAGTTTGTATTCCATGTGGCGGTTTGTGACTGTCCCAGTTTCTGGGATGTAGTACCCTCTTCTGGCTTCTAAGGGCACCAGGCGCACACAGAGTGCACATACACACATGCAGACAAATGTTCATACACATAAATAAATGGATTTTAAAGTAGTATGCAAACATGATGCATAATTTTATGTTTATAACGTAGTAACCTAAAATGTGTGCTTTTGTTCTCATTCACATCCCTCTATACACTCTCTGTAGTTGGTAATTGTCCTGAAAATAGAGCAAATGTCAATACATTTTTCAGCCTTTTCCAGTACCAACCATTGTGTTTGGAGACATAAAAGCATTCATGTTGTGATGCACTCTTGTGTGTGTGTGTGTGTGTGTGTGTGTTTATTTAGCCTGTGAAAAATAGTGGATACCCCTCCCCACCCCCACCCCCGATCCTGGCTCTGCTTCTGTGTCCAAGTCTGCTGCAGTGGACCTAGACGAATAGTAAACTTTTGATGTTTCAGGTCTGCTCAGGTGAAGTGTGTACCTACACTCTTTATTCCTCCCTTCTTCTCCACCCCTTCCCCTTCCCTCCCCTTTCCTGCTTTTTCCATTCCTAGTCCATGAGAGGTAGGAGAGAGAAAAAGTACAGAATGGTGCACTTCAATCTCAAGCAGCATTCAAACTTGAGATAAAGGTTTCCCACTTAAGGAAGCAAATGGCTGAGTGCTCAGTCAGTTGCTAAAAACTAAAACTACCAATGCTAGGACGCAAAGTAGGTGGGGTGGGGTGGGAATTTCATGTTCCATAAGGAGTGGGAATTTCTGCTCTCCTGAAAGACAAAAGCATGGAGCTTCTCCCACTACAGTGGAAGCCTGGCTAGTGAACTTGACCCTGCCCTTCCTTTCTGTGTCCCTTATGGGTCACCTGGCCATAGATCACTGGCATTGTTTCTGCCCCATAATGAGAGACCAAGTAACCTTTGTTTTGCATAGTGAAGCCAGAGGTTTTGCAGGGTAATCGAAGATTGGGGAGGGCTTTCAGAAACTCTGTTTGGCTCCAGATCAAGCTGCAGTGTCCAGGTCAGCTTCATCAATAAGTAAAGCTGAAATGGTGGCCTTTATTGGCCTGCCTGCTGGCTCTACTCAGCAAACTCCAAACTCTGACAGAGAAAACAGTCTGTTTTTCTGTTTGTTTTGGCCTCTCCACCCCATCCCATGCCAGGGAAGAAGATCTTGAGGTGGGTCTGCCTAGAAGGAGGAGCTGGGTCTGGGATTACCACTAAGTGTGAGCCTACACTGGTTAATTTCTGTGAACTTGGAAGATGCTGAGGTTATCTGAAAAGAGGGAACCTCAACCGGGAAAATGCCCCATCAGATGGGCTTGAGGGCAAGCCCATGAGTTTTCTTGATTGACTCAGATGTGGAAGGAAGGGCCTAACCCACTGTGGGTGGTGCCACCCCTGGTTCTGAATTGTATAAGAAAGCAGGCTGAATAAGCCAGGAGGAGCAAGCTAGTAAGAAGTATTCCCCTACAGTCTCTACTTCAGTTCCTGCTTCTAGGTTCCTTACTTCCCTCACCAAGGGGCTGTGGCCTGGGATGTGGAAGCCAGTAAACCCTTTCCTGCCCCAGGATTTTTTGGTCACAGTGTTTATCATAGCAATAGAAAGCAAAGTAGGACAGAGCCCCAGAATGTTTCCATCACAGCACCCAAAGCAGCCACTACTGCTTTAGAGGGCTTAAAAATAAGTGTAGTCTCCCAAATTCAAAAAGGTCTGGATACCTGTGGTGGTTTGAAGGAAAATCAGCCCCAAAGAGAGTGGCACTATAAGGAGGTATGGCCTTGTTGGAATAGGTGTGGTCTTGTAGAAAGTGTGTCACTGTGGAGGTCTCCTATATGCTCAAGATACATCCCAGTGTCTCAGTCTACTTCCTGTTGCCTGCACATCAACGCATAGCAATGCCTTCTCCAGCACCATATCTGCCTGTGTGTTCCACCATGATAATGGACTGAACCTCTGAACTGTAAGTGAAACACCACAATTAAATATTTTTCCTTTAAAAAAGTTGTCATGGTCAGGGTGTCTCTTCACAGCAATAGAAACCCTAACTGAGACAATACCCGAGAGTGAGCTTTGAAGAGGAGAAAGGGCTGTCTGGAAGATCCCTCTCTTAGTCTGTACTGTAGGTAGTGAGGCTGGCCAGAGAGTGTGCTGAAATTGAACACACAAGAGCTTCCAGAACTAACTCCTGACTACCTGGGTGTGAGCAGGCTCTCTCTGAAGTAAGCTGTTTTCTCTTTCTGGAGTTTCTTCTCTCCGGTGTTTTCACCTACAAGGTCATGAGAGAGGGTCAGTGTCCCCAAGGAATGATGGGGCGTCTGAATTAAATGGGTCTTATCTTTCTGTTAATTCCAAACTATCATTCCAGATTCGTAGACACCTGCTCGCTCCCCTGAAGCTCTCCTTGCATTCCCTCCACGCCCTGGTGTATTTGGATGCTCATCTGCTCCTCAATGGCCTTATCAGCTTCACAGTCATGCTGTTATTTACAGGGATTAAAGCCCTCCACCTTCATCTCTACAGCATCTCAATACTTGCTTCCTATTCCCGTTGTGCCCAGCTGTACCATGCAGCCTGCCTCACAAAGTCTTCTTCGCCTCTTAGTGTTGGCTGAAAAGCTCACACATCTTTTGTGTTCTTCAGAAGCCTCCTTGATCTCAGAAAGTTTATTGTCCCTTTTTCCTCCATCTTTAGATGCTGGAAATGTAAAATCTACCCAGTCTGACATGTAATAAATTCTATTGAAAGGTTTGTTTATTCATTAATCCCTTGAACTTGAGATTCTTCTCCAAAAGGCCTTCCTTCTTTCCTTCCTTCCTTCCTTCCTTCCTTCCTTCCTTCCTTCCTTCCTTCCTTCCATTTTACCCTTTAACTTAGAACCTAATAGATACCCAAGAAGCACTGAATGAATGGATTATATTGTTTCTTTATAAATATGTCCCTTCTGCTTTTTTATTCAGTAAGTCTTTGAGTTTAGGACACTGGCTGGTTTGTATCTTATCCCTAATTGCTGGTATACTACCTGATTATGGCACCAATGCCCTCTATAATGTTTCCAATTGCTCTGTCATTTATGACTTTGGAACCTCAAGCATTTCCTTATGTCTTCTCTGTCCTTATCTCTAGCTTATGCTTATCTCATTGTCTGGTCCTCCAGACTTAATAGTCAGCTCCTTGAGGGCAGGAACTGGGCTTCATGTCCTTTTTGTTCCCCGAGGGTCTGCTAGAGTATTCAACTTTCTGGAAGGTCTACAGAAGGTCTACAGTTCTTAGGGTAAACTCTCCATCATCCAGATCCGGCACTTCAGGAATGAGATGTCCGCTCACCTGACCTTCACATTCAGTATCTCATACACAGAGTTGCTTCATGTGGGAAGACGGACTTGAAAATATCCTGTAATTCCATGCTTATGTTGACTACCGTGTTCTGCACCAGTAGATAGGTGCTAAGTATGTTCAAATTAATAAAGGTGATGAAACCCACCAAGAGTAATAAGCCCAAAGACAGTACAGAGCAGCAGGGAGATGGAAACTGCATCAGCCCAGGAGGAGAGTAGGAAGTCAACTCAGGGAAACATCCAGTGTAAACATATATAAACCTTTCAACTACAAAATGTCAAGGTCCTTCCAAGTTAGTCATAGCCACATAGAAAAGAATGGTCTATAGGTCAGTATTCCTTAACAGTCTTGGAGATGTTCTGTTTGCTTTTGTCCATGGGAAGTCATTCATTCCTTTCTCTCTTTCTCTTTTCTTTTTTTCCCTTTCTGCCTTGCATTCTGCACATCTTTATTGAGCATCGACTGTGTTTTCAGTAGTTCTTCTAAGTAATTTATCCATCTCATAACCCTTGTGACAACTCTGAGATGGATATATCTTGTTTTCACTTAAAATATGATGCAAACCCACATTTGGGAGGCTGAGGCAAGAGGAACATGAGCTCAAAGCTAATCTAGGCTATAGAGTGAGACCTCATCTCAAACAAGCAAAACCTACAAGAGAAAAAATGTAACAAACCATAGCCTTAAAAAATTACCCAAGGCCACAGAACCAATAACTGGGTACACATTTGAACCTAGGCCTC